CTTTATATTCTATGTTTAAAAAATGTTTTATTTTTATGTATGAAATATTTTGTACAAATAATAAAGTGTTTTCTCAATCTGACAAAATCTTTTATTCACTTTGAAAATATATTTACATCACAAACTTGTTGAATTTTTTTTAATACAATACTTTTCAAACTAAGATTTGTTAAAAAATAAATTTAATTTACACAACATATTTATCATTAATATCAAAGAAATAACATTTCTTTAAAAGATTTCTGTGTATATATGCATTTATATTCTATGTTTAAAAAATATGTTGTACAAATATTAGTAAAGTGTTTTCTCACTCTGACAAAATCTTTTGTTGAATTTTTTATTATAACACTTTTCAAACTTTTATACACTAAGATTTTTTAACTTACAGAACACACATGGTTAATAGCAATAAACTAACATTTCTTTAAAATGTTATAAATTTTAATTAAAAACAAGTAATAGTTTGTTTTAATAAAACACACATTAAGGGTACATCCCTCTCTCTAATTTTTGCACTGAGACTTACATTTTTCTACTAAGTCTCAGTGCAAGTGTTGGAGAGAGGGATGTACCACTAACTTGTGTTATATTAAAACAAAGACTTATACCATCTAGTTAATAGTTCAAAATAAACTTACATGAGATGAGTAGAATGAATTTCTTCAGCTGTGAAACATATCAGTTCTAATAACACAAGTCAATTAGACTTATTGTATTAAAATACAACTTTCAAGGTATTCTCACTTTCTGTTAACTAAAACACTGGAGACAATTAGTTTATATTTCTCACTTATAGAGGAGACTTGAATTAATGAAAGGAACTATTATTTAAACAAAACACATTTTTCACCTTACAAGTTTAATGCTGATCCATCACAGGACTTATCAGAAATGAAAAACCAATGTTAATTGTTAAACTCTTTCATAAACCTTACTTCATTATATATGTGGTATAAGAATAAGGAATTAATTAGTAATAGTATGGTGTGTTATTATGATAATATATATTTGACATATAATGTTGTGTACAAGTATATTACATAAACTAGCCTTTTTTTAAGTTTAAAAATAATCACAATTAATATTCTGTATATAACATAGAAACAACTATAAACTTACTGTGTTCTGGTTATGATATTCCATCCATTACTGTCGGGAATTCTTGGTTGTTCCAAGTCTGTAAAAAAAAAAGGATTTATCCATAAGTTAATCCTTTTAAAGCTATATACATTTCATGTTGATTTCTGAGATAAATGACAAACTAATCTGGTCCAGTTTTATTAATGATGCTATAAGGAGTACGTTACTGTACAACAGATAGATACATCACTCTAAGAATGTTTCTACATGTACCTTATGTTGTTTACCATTTGAAAGACTTTAAACATTAGGATCCTACAGTTGTCTGTAGATAATGAGGACGTAGAGTGTTCTACTACAGTAGATGAAATGTAACTATAACAGCTACAGCATGCAGAGAGATATCACTAGAAAAGTACTTTGTCTCGTTCAGTTGCAGTACCAGCTTAAAGCTGTTGTATTATAGGCTTAGTTCTTCTATGTATAAATTTTCTATATTTACTCTGTTCGTCACTAAAACTTTTAACAAATGTTTACACTCACACTAGACTTTAACTTTTATAAAATCGTCAACCTGAGGTAAAAGTGGTTGTCCCAAAACCTTATTAAATCAGTCATCTACAGCAGTGCTTTTAAACCAGGGTTCACATATTCTAATGTACAAATACATACCAGTCACATAATTACAATCTGACCACATCATAATTATTTATTAGTATAGCAGGTTTCATAACATAACGAGTCACTACATTGTTTTAAATTAGTGAACAACGCTAGGTACAAACAGGTGATTGAGTCGTGTAAACTGTTATTATTTAAGAGAGAACACTTCTCATTATGGATTTGTGTGGGTATATTGTGTTAAATATATGTACTCTGTCTGAAATTATTGATATAGTGTTGTAGTAAATGCTGTGAAGGGTTTCCATGATACAAATTTGATGCCAGTTGAGTTCTGTGGATTCAAACAGGTTATCCACTTATCTACAGTATCCATCTCACAATCACAGTAGAAACTAGACTGACAACTTCTGACTAACAAACAGATATTCTAAGGACAAAGAAAAGTGAAACAAAAGTCTTA